CCCCCCCACTTGACATGCAAATATAATAATAATAATATAAGAAGAAGAAATGAACAGGCAAAGTACACCCTTTTAAAAAAGAATTAGAAGAGAGGGTGAAGTGTATAAAATAATTTTCACACAAACGAGATTGCAGTTTTTAAGAATCGAGACACATTCGCGCTGAAGCATACTATACTCGAGTCTTGGGTGAACAAAACCTATACAAATTCGAGACAAACGTACGGAGAGAGAGAAGAGTCTGGGAGGAAGGTTCGGGACAAGTTAGAAGAAAGGTTTGGTTCGAAATGAAAAGCATGATTTACACACATTTTCTCCACAATGTAACACTGCCCCAAACGAAATCAGTTATCCTAAATGGATAGAAGCTCTAATTCTATTTCTTCAACAACATTTGGCATGCATACACACGTGCATTAAAAGTCAATTTTAGTTAAAGATGAAAAGTCTCAAACTAACTACATGTAGCTATATGGGGAATCGCGGGCGAGGGGAGGGTGATAAACCAAAGAACCGTACCGCTTTGCATTGCCATGTTCGACAACGTAGTAGTAATTAGTAAAAATCTGGAGAAATAAGTCAGTGGCCTTTGAGCCCTAGCATGGATATATCCGAGCACCAATCATGGATATATCATACTCGAGGCCAATCTTCACAACGAGAAGTCCTGGTTCTGAAAGGTCAGACCTTTAGATCACTTTCGACCACGGTAGGTCAAAACAGAGACCCAGATAAACCAGGTGGACCACAGCAAAATCTCAACACGCCGATAACAACAGATAACAAGCAAGCAACCGGCTGAGGTTGCCTCTATTCAGTCTGAGCACGAAGAGCGAATGTGGACAATTTTCCTGTACAAACTCTTTATTCGCCTTTGCTTCAGGAGAGTAACGACGTATCATGTACGAAATACCACATCCGACTGGAGTCACATTGGAACAGCACACCGAGCCCAGATTAATAGAATTCAAAGAGATGTAATAATATTATGTACGTCTGTCCGTCAGCGTGCCTACAAAGTGATTGGGAAATGTACAGAGATCTATATATAGTAATTTACACTATATCACAGTTATGTAAAATGGTCAAACAAACTAATCAGATGTCACTGACGACCACAGAAGAAAAAAACCCAACAACTAACAAACACAAAAAACCTCAACGAATAGCAAGCAGTAGGTAAACTTGCACGAGCAGAAACTCCACAACAGTCTCACGGCGGCTTTACAATGCAGCCTTACAGAACTCGGACACAACGTTAAAGCAACTTATAAAAAACGACCGCCAATTGGATGAGATTGCGTCTACGAGACGGCCTTGAAACTCGGCGCGACCACATGCAGGATCGATTTTTAACAGCCTTTTATCAGGAAGCGCTTTCCCTCTAAAAGCAAAAATTACTTGGTCGAACATTTATTACACTGAATAGCGCTCGGACGACACACACGCAAGCAAACAGACAAGCACGTACTTTTCTTCATCGTGGACTGGTCAGAGTGGGTGGTTGGCATTCACCTCGCCGCACCGTCTGAAGCCTATCCTACTCAACAGGGGGACAGCCAAGAAGAAATGGAAGAGTCGTCCCCTTTAGCCGACTGGGCAGCCCACCTCCTTTCCCTCCCTCTCTCTCTCCCTTG